GCCCTTTGATCTGTGCCTCTGGGAATGACCTTCCTTGCTCCTTTCTTTGTTTTGGAGGCAGTTACCATATAAACACCATCTCCATCAATCCAAAACTACTTTCTCCAGGTACTCAGAATGGAAAAAAGCAAGGTTAGATAATGGATGGAAATGGAGGAGAAAAGATGGCAGGAAAGAAAGGAGCTGAACCACTTCCAGTAACTGGACTCAGAACAGACTGATTTCCAGTGGCTGCCCGAAAATAAACAAGCAGACTGGCCCTTTCAATTAGCACCAGGAAGGCCAGCACATGTTCCTTATAAAACCCCCATGGCTAGTGCTTTCTAACAGCGGTTCTCATTTCTCCTGAGTTTCTAAATCCACCGTACGTAGGCCACCTCTGTTACTTGGCAGCTTGGCTTGCCTTGCTGCGGTGTCAGGTTGATCTGTCCTTTTATGCTTTGGCATGAACCCAAAGGAAAGGATAGGTTGCTGGCTGGAGACCCAACATACCACACTGCTAACTTGTCAGGCCTCAGGGTGGCAAGCCACCCAGGGAAGGGTAGTCTCATTGTTAAAGTTTTAGATACTGTAAGATTTTCTTTTCACCATAGTCTTTTTAATGACTTCTCAAGAAAACTTCCCGGATCGATGTGAGGTTCTTACTGATAATTGGAGGCAAGTTAACAAGGGGAAAGTTATGTTTCATAGAACACAAAGAGAAATAAAATATTAAATCATAACCATGACAAATAGCGAGGCTCTTGCACAGTGGGGACCCAAGGGAATTTAGAATTCAAGTTTCCATTCTGGTTCTGCTTTTAATGTTGGGCGAGTCATCTAAGCCCTCAGAACCTCAGCTTCCTCATCTATAAAGTTAAATTGAAGGTAAAACATCTCTTTCAAAGCTGGGGAGATGCATCAGTGAATAAAGTGTTTATCTTGCAGAGACCAGGATCTGAATTCAACTCCCAGAACCTGCATAAAAAAGCTTGGGTGTAGTGGTATACAGAATCCCAGTGCTGGGGCTTGATGGCTAATTAGCCTAACCTAAACAAGGGCAGGAGGTTAGGGCAGGGAGACCCTGTCCGAGGAACAACATCTAACATTATTCTTTGGCATCTATGCTCTCTCACACATACACACACCCTCTTGTCTAAGGCTGTCGTAAGTTACGTAGGACAAAGGACGGTTTCCAGTGCATACTAGATGTGCTTCAGATATTAGACGAATAAATGAACCAATGAACATATGGAAAACAAATTAAATATAAAAACTCCAACAAAGGTTTGATCCGGGTGAGGAGGCAACATGCTAAGAAGGGGGAAACCCTAAGTGTTCAGAGAGGCTGGTGTGGAATCACACCTAGTTTTCTTGCAGCATCTCTGAAACCTCAACTTCCTGATTTGCAATGGGGAGGGTTGTCCCCTTCCAGAGTTAGTGTAAGTCTCAAAGGATGAATCTAAAAATCCTATGCAAACTGCAAGAGGTGAGTTAGACTTTAGCTGGCTGGGTATTCCTTGCCTTGCAGGGGGGATCCTGTGATGTCACTAACACCTGTGGTCAGCAAGGCTGCCACCTTCAGGGAGTTGAGGAGAAACAGTCCCCTCTGATTCTAAATCTCCCTATGCTAGGGGGAGGTTATTATTTCTGAAAGCAGATGCTATATTTTATTCTAAAACTAGCTTGGTTTCCGTGGGCGTGTACACATGTGTATGTGCATGCATGCATGCGTGTGTATGCTTGCACACATGTGGCACACATCCAGTTTAGTGAGAACTGTGTCAATGCCAGGTCTCTGTGGAAATACTCATATATCCAGTTTGGAAAGTGCTTTTAGATATTTTTTCCAAGGCAAAAGATAAACTCATTTGATTTAAAGTTATCAGCTGGTTTGCATTAAATAGGGGGAAAAGCAAAAGCATATACAACGCAGGCATTCGTTAGGCACAATTATTTCTCCCGTTACTTAATTACAAGCAGACATAAGTACGCTGAATTCTGACATCTCAGGTCTTCTTAAATTCCCGATCTGTGTTTCAGCACGTAATGAAAGGAGGGTCATACTCCACTCTGTGTGTTAAGCAAACCCAAGAGTTATAATTGTATATTGGGACCATAATGACTTTGCTAAAGCAAGGCCTAAACTTTTAATTAACCTGCCAAGACAAATTACAGCTCACAGCTCACAGGTAACGATCATGGACAGCTGAGACTCAATGCTGGAGACTCTCGGGAAAGAGGGATTAATAGCAACATCAGAATCAGTCTGTTTTTGTATTAAAAGAAAAAACAGTGTTCATTAAACAATCATTGTAGCTTGAAGGGAGGCAGACAGGTCAGAAAGACAGTGAGAGAGAATGGAAGAGGAGGGAGGGGGCACCCTCCTCTCTCGAAGGCTCGGCTCCCCTCTCTAGAGTACGTGCAGTGGCCTGATAGGTGCCAGGCGCTCACTGCTCTTTTTCCTAATGCTCACAACGTGGATTGCAAACAAACACTTAAGAATTTTTTTCCAGGTAGGGAAGGGCTGGCCCACCACTGACAATCACAAAAGTAACAGGGAACCACAGGGGAAGGAAGGGGCAGGAGTCAGTGGCTTGGGGTGTTTTCAGGGCCTTGTTGACAAAGAGTACCGGGCACTCCTATCTGTCCACAGACCCAGGGTTTCTGAAGGAAAGACCAGGAATCCAAACTTCTCCTTGATGCCTTAGCTGATTCCTCTGTCTAGTAGCATTTGAGAAGGACCATGACTATAAGTTTAAAACAGGCACCGTAGTATGGGCTCCATTGGGTGCAGCTTTCCCAGGCCTGCTGGAGTACATTCTGCATTTTAATCAGACCCTCAGGTAGTTCTTCAGTGTACTGATATAGAGGAAGTATGAGAAAGCCTATCTCTCACATACATGAAAGGGTTAAGAGACAGTTTTAGTCATCTAGGTGAGAGGAACCAGGGTGAAAAGCAAGACCATGATCTTAATTATAACAGAACAGTTTAGTATGCTCTGACAAGCCAAGAGTTGGCAAAGGAAAATCCCACTATTTCCTTACAGTTTAAAGATGCATATCCTAATTAAATGGCTTTCTTTGGGAGTTTAAATTAATAACCTTTCATATTTATATTCAGTTATTAAAACAGAAATCTGACTGTAAATGCTCCTAGCTCTGTGTGGGCCCAGTGCTGTGTACCTCCTTGTGAACTGTGCCTAGAAGGAGTACCAGGCTAGGAGACTAGGAAACTCTGATGCCATAGGACATGATAACTGTGTCCCTAAATTAAAGCCACCATAGCAAAAAAGACTATATTTAATGACTGCTGCCTAACAAAACTGAGAAGCGGCAGCCTCACTATTGCTGAGGCCAGCCTCCAGCCTCCAATGGGAGTGATTGGGAGTTGCAATGTTGGCCTCCATGTCAGCAATAGCTACTAAGACACAGCTTCCGATTACAGAATGTTTTAAAATTAACAAAGTAATTAATTTGTTTTTTGAGACAGGGTTTCTTTGGATAGCCCTGGATGTCTCGGAATTCTCTGTGGACCAGGCTGGCTTCAAACTCAGAGATCAACCTGTCTCTACTTCCCACATGCTGGGATTAAACACATTTGCACCACTGCCTGGCAAATCTATTTATTTTTATTTTCTGTGCATTAGTATTTTGCCTGCATATATGTCTGTGTGAGGGTGTTGGGTCCCCTAGAACTGGAGTTATAGACAGAGGTGAGCCGTTACATAGGTGTTGGGCTCTCTGGAAAAGCATTAAGTGCCTTTGACTGCTAAGCTATCTCTCCAGCCCCAGATTTCAGAATCTCAAGAAACCAAGGGATAGAAAAGAGTAAGAATCTGTATGATATTAAAAGCCAAGTTCACAGTAGAGCTTCTGGACTAAGCCAGTTTTCTACTACACTACACAGGAAACTGCCAGAGGGAAACCAGTAGTATTGCAACTGGCAAGACCTGGACTGCCAAGGGTCCTGCTGAAGGAAACCTGGCAAAGGTCACGCTCTTGCCTATTCCTTACCAACCAAGTGGCATTGCTCATGAGACTCAATGTGTATTGTGGCAATAGACTACACCCCTGGTCAAAGACAACACAGAGGGACATTTCCTTCATCAGCAACAGTTGTTGGATGCCACCTCTGCTTTTTTTTCTTTTTTGCCATCAAGGCAAAATATTAAGGCAGAATATAGCAGAAGCATATTAACCATGCTCCATTTAACAGAAAGGTTCGCTCTGCCTCAATACTAAAGGCAAAACTGCAAATAAGAGGGAAATGGGCTGAAAAAAAAACTACTGCTGATTAAGAAGGAGAATTGGGATCTTTGAAGAATGCTGGAAACTTAGTACCAAGTCAAGAAATGTTCCTTCAACTCCATTTCCCATGTCAGAGAGACTCCCAGCAAAGGTGCACTCTGAAGCATTCACTAGGCAATATTCCTTTCCAAGAGCCTTGGCCATGGAGCTGTGTTCTGGCTAAGTTCTAGATACCAGGACACCCTGTGTCAGAGAGCAGGATGGTTCTAGTCTCAGTGAAACCCCAGTGCAACTGCAAACTGCTCTGCCAGCCCCCATCTCTGTCATTTTCACTCTCCAATTTATTGTCTTCTCTCATCGGCCAGCGTCTGCTGATTTCAGAAGTAAAAGACAAACCCAAATCAAACCAGAGCCAACTGGCAAGTCAGCAAATTGAAGTCAGTAAGACTTTAAAGACAGGTGAGAGACAAGTGCCAATGAAGGACATGTGACTTATGTGTGGTTTGTCATCCAGGATTCCTATCTGAATGTGAGTTTTGCCTCCTAGCTCTTGAGCGGCAGCTGGTGGTTCGCACACCTTATCCAGCCAGTCCATTGGGGTGGCCTTGCGTGCTCTGAGAGGCAGCTGTAGCCGTGGGCAAGAGCTAGAGCTACTCAATTCCAGTTCCAATTCTAATCATACTCAATTCTAATTCCTCGAAAGTATCAACTCCTCAGTCCACACAACCTTCCTCTCATCCAAAGACACCAATAGAGGGGTAGCTGCTTACCAATGGTGGTGGTGAGAAAGGAAACCACTTCAGACTCTTTTCCATCATTGTAAAAGGCCAGGTGCCAGATTCCTGAATCCAGATACTGGATGAAACCGGTCTCGTGGCTGGATGGAGGGACGGTGCCCCGTGACTGGCGCTGAGGACCCTCCAGGCTCCTTGCCTCTTGGGTTAGGAGCCTTCTTCCATCCAGTAGCTCCACAAAGTCAAACTAAAGCACAAAGAGAGTAAAGTTAGCAGTGAACTGACGCCTCCACCTGCCAAGCTCCATGCAGGGCTTCTCCCGTGCAGCCTAGAAGGGAAGAGAAGCCAGGAGAGCAGACCGAACAAGTCCTCCCTAGATCTACAAATGTCATGGTAATATTCTTCTAACTCATTTGTGAATGTGGCAAAATTAATGATTATTCATTGTCTTGCTTTGTTTTAATTTTGGGACATGCAAACCGTTACCTGATCATGCATCCATTAAGACAGCCATGCTTTCTTTAGTTGGCTGGTGCCTCAGTTGAAACAACCCAGCCGCTTTGCGATCACTGGAGGTTCATGCAAGCACGGATGGGAATCTTAGGAACTTGGAGTGGGACTGGAACACTGGGTAGGGTTGGGTTAGTCATGGGTTGATTTGGATCAGCTCAAGATTTCATCAGTGAAATACAAGCACGGACTGATCCAAGACTGTTGATGTGAAGCTCCAGGAAAGTCCAGCACGCAGTATGATCATCAGGAGGATGAAGCCCGGCTGCCTCACCCTGAGCAGCCACCTAGTTAGACTTTAGTAGATGGAAGATATTTAGCCTATCTGGAACAACGCTGATGCTGTGAAGTCCAGGTGTGCATAGTGGGTCTGTGGTCACCAGAGATGATGCTCATCTATTGCTCTGTGACCTGACCTTTGGCTAATACTGGAGCTAAAGATATTACATACGACCTCAGAATGGATGATGGATAGTTACGGCTTTGATGACTTTAGCTCCAAAGCTAGCATGTGTCTTGTATGTGTACCTGTGCGTGCGCACACATGGGGGTATGTTGCACAGGCCTCTGTTCTCTCTGACTCATGACTCCTCCTTATCCTATTTCTTTCTTTTCCTTCCCTCTTCCTGTATTTTGGTGTCAGAGACAGACTCCAGAGTCCAGCATGCTAAGCACATGCATTGTCCATGAACTACACTCCCAGGTACTTGGTTAAGTTCTTTGTTCCTGATACATGTGTCCAAATAAATATGCAATCCTGAAGAAAGGAGGGTATGCAAGAGGCATAGAAAGCACTGTCTATTTTGAGCCAGCTCCTATGCTAAGGGTTCTATGAATGTTCCTTGTTATGAGAATTCTGCAGGGCAGTTACTATTATTTCCCACCTTATAGATGAGGAAACTCTTGATGAATTGTGGACCCAGGCTTGCATAGTCTATGACAAGAGGATTCATGAAAGTCTCTGGGTCATATTGCCTGGGATTTTGGAGGTGGTGTAGTCGCAGAAAGGCAGTTGTGAAGTGTCCTAGAATTCTCTGAAAAAGATCCAGAGACCTAACCTCACTCTTCTGGAAGGCAGAATGTTAGTGGGGGAAATAGATGAGTGGCCTATACAATAACATGAAATTTCCTTCAGGCTTTAGGAGCTGGCTGGGCTTCCGGCCTAGGTTAGGACCTGAGTGGACACCCAAGAGGTTATAGTTAGTGTGTGGGATCCAGTTACCTGAGTATGGGAAGGAGGAAGGCCTTTTCTGCCGTAAATGCCAACCAGAGCTGCTTTCCCCAGAGACACATTGAACTTTAGATGTACAGGGTGGTCTATGAACACCTGAGATCTCCAGAACGTTCCAGGCGGAATCTTCTGGGAAGCCCGTCTTCCCACATCAATTTCTCCAGAATCTATGAAACTGTCTTCTGGAAATAAACTACTTGGCTTTCCTACCGAGACACAGGGAAGGGAAGACAAGAACATTCTGGTTAGTAACACACAACAAGGAACCAGCATCTGTCCCAACATCCAGAACTCCACTCTGCCTCTCACCCCAGAGGTCTGCAGCCAGCTCCCTGCCCTGCTCCTCCTCCTCCAGACGAGTAAGATAGTCTAGAATTTTCTCCCCAGTGATGCTCAAATTGTTCTGCTAAAAACATTCATTCTTCCAAAGCTGTATGGGTCCTCCCAAAGGGCCATCTGTTTACTGCATAATGCTACAGCTTGTTAAAATATATTTTGATCCTAAAAATAATCATTGGTGGTCACATGAGAATAACTTTGTGAGTGTGTGTGTGTGTGTGTGTGTGTGTGTGTGTGTGTAGAAGACTGTATGATAATGTAGAAAGGACAGAGGGAGTGAGGCAGAAGCATTGTCATCTAATTTCCAACCCTGTAGTGGAGGCATGATGAGAATAGAGGGAGGTATTTTATGTTCGGGTGAAAACTGGAAGCTACATATGTGAGTAGGGGGTTGGGTTTGGAACCGGGTTATAGATTAACAAAGATGAAGAAGAGGCCTTTTAAGAAGGGAGGAACATGTCTGAAAATGCTGTTGTGTTTTAGTGGGCCTGGGTATCTTTTGTGTGTGTGTGTGTGTGTGTGTGTGTGTGTATGTGTGTGTGCTAAAATGGTTAAAGAAACTCCTCAAGTTTATAGATGAAATCTATAGCATACTTAGAAGTTTAACTCAGCCCCCAGCCCTGTACCACAAGGGTGGAAGGTGTTCAGCAGGGACTGCTTCTGGTGGGGGGCATCAAACCCCAGGAAGGAAGGCTACTTACCAAATTTCCTCTTCATAGTAATTAAACACACTCGCAAGTGAGAGAGATAAGCCCTAACTTTCTGCCAGACATTAGCCTTCTTAAGAGTCAGGAGGAGGGGCAGGAGCATTGGGAGGACCACCCTTAGGACCCTGAAAACCCCAAATCAAGTCAACAGACTCTATTGTATCTGTCAGTAGTAAAACCCTCCTGGGCATCCGGGGTCCGAGGCTTTTTATGTGGTTAGAGATGCTCCAAGATGTTCTAAGAGAACAAGAATCATCTGCAGAGAAAACACGTTTGTGGAACTTTTTATACAAAGCATTTGGAGCATTTGGAGAGGGGAAATTACAATGTCTCCCCCCCCCCTCAGCTTTGCAAGACTCCTTACAAAGCATGATTGACTCTGAAATGGAGCTTGGCATGGCATTGTTGTAGTCATAAAATATTTTACTGTTTTAAATAATAAAATTCAATTTAAATGTTAAACTTCTCCATATGTTATCATTCCCTTATAAACTCCTAGGCAGAAACATCAGGTTTTTAGCTTCAAATCGTTAAATGTTATTTTAATTAAAAATGTGCCAACAACAAAAAGTTAAAATGCACGCTGTCAGTAAAAGTACCATGGATATTCTATCATCCACATGGGAGAGATTCTGCATTTAATTCCTTATAGGAGGAATGCGCCCCAGACTTTTACCTTGAAAATGAAGACACACAAACCTCACATTGTGAGTCATGGAACTTCAAAGACAGGAGCCCAGTTCACAAAGCATTAAGATGGGAGAGAATTATTCACAGTTTTCATTTTCTGATCTGTAGGTGCCCAGGACTGCAAACCGTTTGTAGTGCAAGTAGAAGTCGTCCACCCTCATCTCTAAGTTCTCCCAGGGAGGCAGAACTAAGGGGTGTGTCAAAAAAACCATGGTGCCCTCTGAACCCTACACACCTAGGAAGGGCTAAGAAAGAAGCATAAGCCTGCTAATTGCAAGGGCTGCTTTTCTGAGTGTAGGAAGGAGCGGGAGTCAAGGGAGCTAGAGAACTGTCTGCACTCACATGTTTCCTGTCTCGGAATAAATAATGGAAAAGCCTCCCCCACTTTAGCCAACAGGGTGCCTTTTCTCTCTAGCAAAGAGGAGAGCATAGTGTAGGAGGCGGTCTTATAGGTCAGGATGGGTTCAGAGATACTCTCCAGAACTCAGGCAGGATTCGTAGGCAAGGGCATATATACATCACTTGCCCCAATAAAGTAACAGAGGGGTTTTTTCTTTCATTGCACTTTCTATAGTTCAAGAATGTGGGGCAGATGGGAGGGAGATACTCTCTCCACACTGAACCAATTGGTGTGGACTGGTGGCTGAGAAGAAAGAGTGAAGAACATTCACCACCTTTAGCTCATGGGAAAGATGCCTGAGTTTGCCAGGGCTGGGGCTAGGTATGGCTGGAAGAGAGAGAGAGAGGAAAAACCTGACCTGCCTTTGTCTTTCCAGGTCATACAATTCCTGATTCCTTGTTTTTAATTCTGAGCACAAAGCATGAGCTCTAGAATATGAAATGTCCCACTGCAAAGTGTAATACACCAGTGGAAGGCAGGGAAGGGGAAGAGGCGAGAGACTGGTAGAGGGGAAAGTCTGTGTATGAAATTCTTCTCTTCATGAATATTCTGGAAGGTAGCAGGTATTAGTAGGAGGAATGGTAGTGAGGTGGAGGTCAATGGGTTCCAGTTATGTCAAGGGCCCTCATTTACATGAATTCAGTTGATTCTCATGACACTAAGAACATCTCTACACTGAGGAGGCTCTGAATGCTTAAGAAGCCAGTCAGAGATGAAGTCACTTGAGAAACCTCTTTTTCCTTACCTCTTAGACTATGGCTACTCAGTGGAATAAACACATGAGTGATGAATTAACTATCTGGAGAGACACTCTTGGTGGTGTTGGGGTGCACTGACTCTCTCAAAGGGCAGTGTCTCCAGTGGCATTCACGGGGTGAATGTCAAGACTTAGCCAGCTAGATACAAGGTCCAGTTAAGAACTTTGTGGTACATCAGGGTTTGGAAGTTGATCATTTTTACTCATTAGGAAGCTGTAGACAGGACTCAGAGTAGCCAGGGTCTGAAGACAGTCATGAGAAGCATACTGCAGCATTACTAGGTGACTCTAGGCCTCACCAAATGGTACAAAAAGCTTAGTTTAGACCCTACTCTTTCCAACAGCATGATTCAGTTTCACAGCACAGATTCCATTGATAACCATCTTTATCTTTGTAAATTTAGATTCAGGCTTCCTAGAGCAATGCTGTCCAAATATGCAATCACGTCCATAAAAGAAATCTCTCAATGAATTGCTGAAATGGTTGGATGGCTCCATCAAACGTGGAAGATTTGGAAGAACTGGAATTGCCCTGCATCCCAATCACAGTCTCCAGTCTTCTGAGCAGATCCATCTATCCAGGTTCTAAATTTCTAATCAACTGACAATCCCCTTACCTATTTTTTTCTTCTTTTTGTTATTCTCAATGCAATAGATTGCACAAAGAATCCCTTAGTTTCCTTAGCAACAGTTTGAAATTTATTTGGCTATCAAAATAAGCTGTTCCATTTTGGAGAGCCCAGCTGAGCCTGTGTGCAGTAATTTGTATGGTTCAAACTGATAAGCAATTCTTATTCCATTGCAAAAAAGAAAGTGCTATCCCTAGCCCACCAAGTCAAGCATCAGAAAGGCTTGTTTATACAGCTATTCCTCCTCCCCATTAATGCAAGCACAAGGTTTTGTGGTGTTGCTTCAGGAAGCTGCCACATTTGGTTTCTCTTCCATAATGACCCTGAAATGATTACAGCCCCTGTGAAAAATACAGCGTCAATTATAGTTTAATATTATTCTCACAGACATGAGAGACACAGCACTGGGAGCATCACCTTTTAATTTATATAATTCAAAAAGCATACTTTAAATATCTTTTAAACACCCCAAACCTTAGTAAGACCCCTGAGGGTAAATGTTAATACATCTCTAGGATCTTCAGCTCTGAGGTGGAATGGCCCTGACCCAAGTAGATAAGATGAGAGGCCTCAGATAGACTGGTGACCACTCTCTACAAGTGGCTCCTCCCAGCTGGGCTCTCAAAGGAGCCACCATCATCCTTGTTTTACAGATGAGGAAACTAAGGCCAATCAGACAAAGTAACTAGAATGAGTTAATGGAACACATGCAAGGCTGGGTTAGAACCACATCTCAGGCTCTGTGGCTCCAAGGCACATTTGAGCCCATTGCTACTTTTTTTTTTTTTTTAAAAAAATCACATCATACTACTTCTCTCATGATCATGGTGCAGGGATACTAATCTTAATTCTGTAATCAATTCTTTCCCCTGATACCATCAGAAGGGGTCATAAATGTACCCTCACAGTTGGGTTAAGAATTTCACTACTGAGATAAAGTCTAAGGAAGCAGAGTTTTATCATCACAATTAAAAACAGAAACTGAGTAGGCGTTGGTTCGATTGGGGTGTGGGAGTGGGGAGGGGAGGGGAGAACCATGTGGCCTCCCAGAGACTATAGGGCGCTTTCTCCTCTGCTTTTCAGGCACATGTGTTCTCCTCCCCCCCAGCAATCACTCCTGAGGCCGACTGCTTTCCAGTACTGCCCTCCATTTAAGGGGCTTATAAACAGGATTTCCATTTGCATCAGTAATAACCGATAATCCCTTTAAGCAAAAAATCTCCAATTAAAATAAGCCAATAAGGCAGTGTAATTTTGTGTTGTCTCTTATCTACACTCAACCCTCCTCCGGAAAAACTAAACAGAATCCAAACAACCCACAAACTAATTTCATTAGAGTGCAAGATTTCAGATAGACTTAACTCCTGCTGAAGGAATGTCTGTTAGAGATTCATGGTGGGAAGAAACTACACTGTGCTACAGGAGATCCTTTACCAATTCCATGCGTGATAAAGATGGCTTAAGTGTGTTTTCACAGGCTGATCTAAAGACAGCGGTTCCTCTATGGGTCTTCACTGGTGGCACTAGGTAATATGAACCGGTGTGAGCTTTGCAAGCCACCAGCAGGACCATGGACAGTGCCACCTTTGCCCGATCCCTGAAGAGAGCCAGTTGGCCCTGTAATGATTCTTATACAAATTTCACCTGTAGGACTTGCAAATTGCAATGCACCCTATAGAGAGCCCATGGCTCAGTGCTTTCTGACTCAGCCACAGAGAGTGGGAGTGGAGCTTTGGAGTGCCTGGCTCAGGGGGTTTGCTTAAGCTGACATCACAGTCAGCAGCTCCTGACTCCACCAGTGCCCTCCATCCCATGCTACCTTCTTCCCTATCCTGCTACTGGATAAAGAAGCATATGTTATTTTATGCTTTAATTCTTAAAAATCTTTAAAAGGAGGAGGCCTGGCCTTTCCTCTCAAAACAGTGGGTAAGCATTTGGATTTGGTTCTTTTAGAAGTCTCCTCTTTTCACTTCCCTTAAATGTGTCCACAAGTCAACAGTTGACTTTGAACTTGAAGACGTCATTGCAGACGTCACAAGGAGCTACTCTGGGTAAGCACAAGTTACCCTTTTAACCAAACCAATAGCTTTTACAGGACATAGAGATTCAAAAGGCATGAGCCCAGAGTTAAGTGAGGCAAGAGAAAACATGGTGTGAGCTGCAAAGGCAGGAGCCATGGCCACTTTGCCCACAGGGAAACAGAGCGAAAACAACAAAGATCACAGCAGGTGCAGGAGAAGGGAAGGCCATCGTGCCTGAAGGACAAGTGGACTGGCCTGGGAGCTTACATCATTCCAGTCTTGGTGAGCCTGAACTGTTCTTGGCTGACAGTGAGGGAAGTTGTATCTATAAATTGTTATAAAGACCACTGAGACATTCAAAATATGGGTCCATGGATTTCCCTCTCAAGAATGCCAAACACAAAATGTCACCACCGTTTCTGTCATGGATGGAAATGTCTTTGCCTCATGGTACAACAGGATCTCACATCTGCATTAGCTTTGAGGTCCCATCACCATGGGTGTGGATAAGGTGGGAAAACTAATGGGGGCTTGGTTAGAGCCGTGAAGTCCCAGACCCCAGTTCATATACTCAGCTCTGACATCCTCTGGGTCACGCCACTTCATGTGATCATTTGTGTTTGCACCTAGAATGAACATAGCTAATTATACCCATTTCACAGGGTTGTGAGGGTTAAGTCTGAGGTGAAATGACATTAGTGAGAAGTTTTGACGCAAACACAGTGAGTACACAGTAATTGTTGTTGCTACTGCAGATGAGCCAGAGGTACTAGTGATTTGGTCACTGGGCCGGCTGATCATCTGAAATGTTTCCACTGAAACATACATTCCAAAAGTCTTTTACGAGGAACACACTATCCGCTACCATGTCCCACTCCCACAGGTGCCTCCTGATCCCACAGGGTTTCCCAGAAGTGCTCCCCTGACCCCACACGAAGATGGATGGATGGTAATGTGAATGCCCTGAGTGAGTGCATCCCTGGAGGCATGGAATGAGATGCGGCAGAGCACCATGGGTCCCACTGACCCAGCTCTGGGTTCACACTGACAGGGAGTTGGGATGAAGACACAGTGGACTGCAGCCGGCACGGGGTGTGGAGGATGGAAGGAGAAGCATGAGCTGTGAGTCAGGCACAGGGCGTGCATGATGGAGGCCTCCTCCGTTCAAAGGCAGACACAGAGGACTCACGACACGGACAACGCAGCAACCCTACCTTCTGCGGTTCCTTTGCCTTTCCTGTCAGGGGTCTCTAAGCCAGTGCCCCCTGAGGGATACAGGGAGACGTCCGTTGGCACAGGCCAGCTGCTGGCTGTGTCCTCCGTGATCTCATACATCTGCCCCTCCATCGGCTGCAGGTGCCAGTTTAGGCCAAACAGGTGCATGGCTGTAGTGAGCAATGGAAAAAGTCATCTTTTTCTGCTGGAGGTGGAAATGGAACTCCCAAGCCACAAGGAAAGGGGGTCTGGGGTGGGGAACACAGACCCTCAGTTCAGTTCAACAACAGCCCCCGGAGAGATCTCTCAGAGTGTCAGACCCTGCAAGGGGGCTCAAGACACAGTGGTGATCAAGGGTTTAGACCTTGCCCTCGATGGGCTCACAGTCTGGTGATGTTAAGGATGACCAGGAAAATCATAGTTTCAGGAGGTCTTGACCTTTTTCTTCAAAAGACAAATAACAACCTAGGAGGGAAAACTATAATTTGTACGACAAAGGATTATTTCCTTAATATAAATAACACCCATGAATAAGTAAAGTCTAACAGTGTGGTAGAAAAATAGGCATAGGATATGAACAGACAGGTTACAGAATAGGAAATACAAAGGGCCCTTAATCATACGAAAAGGCTCTTAACATCACTCACTGTGAAAGAAATCTAAGTCAAACTCTGAAATATTAGTTTTCACATATGGTTTGGCAAAGATAAAAAGAGCCGAAAATATACTGTGTTGGCAGAGGAGGGGAAGCAGGCGCCCGCACACTTTGCTGGTGTGAGCATAAATGGGTATGTGATAAAAAGCCATAAAATTTAAAATACATTCACCTTTTACCCTAGGATTTCAAGGTCCTAATTCTAGAAACTTCTCCTCCAGATATACTCACATATCTAATAAATAATGTACCTACAAGGTTACTCACTACAACATTATTTTAATAGCAAAATTTCATAAACTGGCCCATTGATAAGAGGCTAGGTGGGATCTAGCCACACAACACAATAGCACCGATAATAAATAGACTGAGGAAGATTTTTATGTGTTTTTCTTTTCTGGAAGAAGAACGATAACCTGCAGAAGGATGTGTTTGACATACTACCTTTGGGTTTACGTTGTACTGAGTATCAGAAGGATATGAAAGACAGCCATAACACTGGGTGCTCCCTGTGAGGGAAGGGGATGGGGCAGGGCTGGAGTGGGAGGGAGATGTTCTGTACATCTTTATTTTGTGCCACAAGACAGCGAAAAGTGAACACTGTCTGAAGGATACAGTGTGCATTCAGGCTGTGAATGCTGTTTCCACAAGGATTTGTAATCGGTGAGCGACTGCTCTCTGGATTTCACTTTGGGAATCAATACTTAGCTCTTGATGTGGGCATAGCGGCACACATCTATAACCCAGGAGGGAACGGGGGAGGCTGAGGAGGCAGGCTGTGAGATCTACAGAGCTAGGAAGCCAGTCTGCTCCATTTGGTGAGACCCTTTCACAAAAACAAAAAGGGCCACGAAGATGAGTCGGCAGAGCAAAGCACTTGTTACACAAGCCTGATGTCCTGAGTTCAATCCCTTAAGTTACCAAAAGCGGGTTACTATGTGCTAGAGTATGCATGGTGGCAAACACACAAAAGAAACTCTGCCTTAACAAAGTGGAAGGAGGGAACAAACCCCTAAAAATTGTTCTCTGGTGTCCACTTGAGTCTTGAGGCATGCATGTGCTGGCACTCACACAGTAGTACTGCATTACACACACACAGACACACACACACACACACACACACACACACCAAAACCCAACCCAACCCAACCCCAAAATCCTCCTCCAAAATGAAACAAGACTTGAGCCTGGCTGGTGGGCTGTACCTGCCACATCCAGGATGCCCACTCTGGCTTTCCTACATGTAGCAAGCATTCATCTTCCTGGATCCCACACCACACTCTGGATAGTACCTCTTCCTCTCATTGATGAGCCTATTCTTAAAGGCCCTCTGTGGCAGAGTCTGGAGAGGTAGGATCGATTCAGACAGCCAGAGCACACAGTCAAGCAGTGAAGACAGATGGATTAGGATGTCTACTCGGAAGGTCCTGGCCTAGAGGAGGGGGTGCTTCAGAAGGAGGGCCACAGAAAGGCAGGGCCGATCTACAGAGACAGGAAGCTCCATGGACTTATACTTACTACCTACTGTGTACATCTGGTAAAACGAATGCATTATTTCTAATTCTCATGTCAACCCACTAGACACAATTTTGAGAGGGTTCAGAAATATTAGGTCTTAGTACAGATTAATAATAAAAATCAGAAAGTTAGTTAAAATTATGATATTTACAAGACAATGATTGAGATGTTTTACTATGTGCTACATATTGTGTTAAAACTATCAAAACAATGTATACTTTGGCTTTCGTGACAACCCTAAAAGGTTAATTTTTGCAGTCAGATGTTACAGATGATCACGTGAAGGTAAGAGAGCAAGGGACATGCACAAGGTTAAGTGGACAAGAAGCAGAGGCTGGTCTAGAACTCATATCTGCCCAGACATGAAAACTCGCACCTTGAGTCTGCTGCTGCCTCTTCTCAGCTCTATCTCACAAGGCACAAGGCTGACATATGAAGACACCCCTTCCTAGACACTGGACAGCCTCCAAGGCCTTTATATCTGCAGGCTGAAACAGAACTCTCCCACAGGATGATGAGAAACAGGTTGTGTTATACATAAGTTCACAGATAGTGGGTTTGAGGACCGACAACAACCTTTTAAGCCACAAAACATGGTAGAGGCTCCTGGCAAACACAGCATATTCTGTGACTCCAGGACATATTCAAATACAGGACATATTCATGTAGGGGATAGGCACCTGGTTGCTTCAGCCAGGAGGTTGTATTTTTGTGACAGTGAGGAGAATGACCTTCTCCCCCGCCCCCAACCCTTTGGTTTCTGTGATGTGGGACTAGAGGTAAGAAAAGATTCTGAATCCTAATTGCTGTTTCCTAGCTGCAGTAGTCTTATCTGAGAAATGAGGAAACATATTTCATCAGTGCTTTTAGTACTGAAACAGTGGGGTGCAGTGTCAGAAGGGTACTCTATCAGAGGTGTGTGCCATGCTAATGGGGATATTGTATAAGTAGTATACCATAACAGAGGTATACCGTAGCAGAGGGGCCCTGTATCAGAGATATACGTCTTGTCAGTGGGGTAATCTTGCAAGTGGTAATGTCAGAGGGGTAAATGTTAGAGGAGCATGCAAGAGCAGCACCATGTCAGAGGGATGCTGTATCAGAGGTATATACCATGTCAGTGGGATACTATATAAGTGGTGTACCTTGTCAGATGGGTTTCATGTCTGTGGGGTAGCATGTCAAAGTGGTGCCTTGTGAGAGAGATACCATGTCAGAGGGGTACCAAGTCAATAGAGCATCATGTCATAAGGGTACAGTGAGATTTAGTGTACCATATCATTAGTGGGATACTATGTGCCAAGGTGTTTTGCCAAGTGTACATAAGTACTGTATTTTCCCAGGCATTAGATTTGTTGATAATAACAGGGATAGGGATAATAGCAGCCCCTACTGAGCGAGCAACTTCTTAGGAGTACTGTGTGAGGTGTTTACCTTGCTTTCCACTTCTGAGCAATGTGATGATAAGAAGACAGTTAGCCTGCCTGCAAGGAGGGAAGCCGCTGTTCCCTAGGTTGAACTAGCTCACATCTCTACTTACCTTCCTACTGTTTCAATCTATATATTGGCAACTCCAAAGGTAATGGAGAACTTCCTTGAACTACACACAACTCAGATGTACACCATTAAATGAGCAGCGCGTCTTCCCCCATTAGAGTCAATTATCTTATCTAAGAGTGCCAAGTGCTGTCTTGTTAAAAGGTCACAAGAATTAACTAATTCCAGAATGAATAGAAAGCTCGCAGCTCTGCGAAAAGAAACATTTTTATTGTCAGAGCTTTTTCTTAATTTTAAGAAGACAAAAAAGGAAGCCTTAAAAAACAAAACAAAACAAAACCCCTGCTGGGGCAGCATTTGGTAGGGTGGAAGGTAGAGTCTCAGAGATGAATCTGATTCCCAAGTCCAGGGTCCCAGGGGAAGTTAACAGGGTAAGGCAGTTCTCAGTTGGGGGAGGGGCTGGAAGTATATTGGTAAGTGTTGACATCTCATTTGTTCTGTTCTGCCTCCTTGGAGAGCCCCACACAGCTGTGAGAGTGACAGGTAGTCTCCATGACCTGTGGAAAAGGTCCCTCTGAAAGCAAAGCTTCACATAAATCCTCAGAGACTCCTCAAGCCACCCTGAAATGACAATGGAGGACGGTGATAGGGAAAAGGATCAATGTCATCAAGACGGAGCTGAGAAATACCTGCTGATCCTTCGCTGCTAACCTAACAGGCAAGAGGTGCCCACCGATACAATAGCAGCAAGTCTGTTTGAGGGGTAACCGACTGCTTTCTGAGTGGACTTCCCATAGTCAGGAGGGAGCTCATATCTGCATTAGAAACCTCACAAGAGGCCCGGGGCTAGGGAGGATATAGGCCTGGGTTGGGAAAGTACTGCTGCTGCTTTGCTAAATGGCCATGATGTGCCTGTCAAATTGCCTTCTGAATAACTATGTCTATCCCCGTAGATTAGCACTGCTGGCAGCCTTGGTCAGAGACACTTCTTTAAACAGTGCATAGTATTAACTGCAGAGACTCATTATCTAGCCAGAGTGCTGGGAATAAGTGACTGTTAAATGCTCAGCTATACATGAGACATCTTTATCACCCTCTCCAAGGCTCAGAAGACAAGAACCCAGAATCTGGAGGACTGGGTAGAATATTGTAGAATTTCTCCTGGGCATGGCATGACCTTTGTACTCTGGCACTCATAGCTGCTATGATTACCTGCACAAGATAGAGCTGATTGACACCCTGAATGGAGCAGGGATATGGAGTAGGGTGGCGGTAGGGGTAGGGTGGGAGTATGGGGTAGGGTGGGGATGGGGGTAGGGAGGTCTTTGGAGGCTCTGCCCTTCCCTGAAGATCTACAGACAATTAATGGCTACTGGTGGAGAGACATCTTCTGCTGTGATGTAGCCACTAGTAAGGTGGTCACACTTCTGTAATTAACCTCTCACCTATACATATGCAAGACTAATCAAACTGGGTCACAAATTAGGGTGGGACATGAAA